TTCAAGAAAAGAGGAGCAAGCATATTAAAGGAGCACGTATGCCTTGTACTTGGACTTGGGGTTACTACAGGGGTTAAAAAGGTAGGCAACAAGAAGGCGGTCACCAGCGGAAAGGAATGGGATTGGCTTGGTGCCGAGGAACCAAACCAAGAATGATTGGAACCCACATCACCCGTTTCTTGAAGCAGCCCCTGGCATTACCGGGAGGATGCCTAGCCGGGGTCCGAGAGGACTCTGAACAGCCTAGCAACTGTGGCAACTGGGGCACGCTATGCCGACACGAAAGCGACGTCATACCGGACAGAAATACAGGTACGAAAGTCTTCGTCAAAGTCTTTGGCATCCAACAATGTTGGATGAGTGGAACAGAAAGGAGTGGCACGGAAAGGGTTTTAGGGAACTAGAATAAAGATAATTAGTTTTCATATTTTTCCAAATAAATATGAATTTATTACGAATAGGAATTATGAATTGGTACTATTAGTAGGGAAGGAAGGCCTTCCTCCCCTCAAGTGGATCGGGCTAATCGCCCTCCTCACTTTTCACCCCTTCTTCTTGGACTTAGTACTAGTTTATACTACTTGACTTTCCCTTCGGAAAAGGAAACTGTAAGAAACACTTCCAGCCTCGAAAGGACTCAGTAAAAAGAACTCAACCCGTTCTATACGACTAGACCGAACCAGCCATTCCACTCGCTACGGGACACACACACCTTTGGATGGAAGGATGTGTCTCCCTCCGCTCATTCCATTGACTACAAAAACCCAAAGAATTACGACTTTCATACCTGTCCGGGAGATAGAGCAGAGGAGAGGACAGCCCTCGTGCATACGATTGAATACACAAGAAATAGCTCAGCTCGAGGGAAGGAGGGTAACTAATTCTCTTTCTTGATAATTAAATCAATTATCGAGGGAATTACCTTTGCATTCAATAAACTAGTTGACACAATAAAGTAATTGGTACATCAAACACTTGATAGCTAATAAAGTACAAGCTAGCCAATACACTTAGTGCTTTACCGGGCTCGCCTTCACTCGGTCAAGGGTTTACCTTAACCTCGCTACGGGCAATATACCCTTAACAAAGTAAACGATAGCTTTTTATTTTAATTGAGAGCTTTACCTTTTATTTGATTCCCTCCTTTTAGTCGGGTACTAACATCTACTTTTTATGAGGCAACTTACAGGTCATAAATAAAGTTCTTGATTTTAGTGATAAACTCTTAAGGGTAGCACAATTTATGTGTTCTAAAACAGGTGGAAATAAAATCGTAGAATGGTGATCGAGAAAACCTACTGGGTTTTAGGGCGTTTTGACTGGTGGCGAAACCAAGTGAATGAACTACTTAACTCATGTTCTTCAAAGTTTCGGGATACTAGCCACCCCTCATTGAGTATGATCTGAGAACCCGATTACATTAGCGCGATAGTATGTAGGGATACATTACTCCAACTAGGATTCCGGGGTGGATTGTTGGGAAACAACACTTCCATCATCAAAGGATGTGTGGTCACATTACCAAGGCAGACTTGAGACAAAAGGATTCGGGACTTGGAAGCTCATACCTAAGCAGGGTAGTTATTGATTGCGCGGAGCCGTTTCACTAATACTTGCCCGACCAGCCGGGCATCCCAGGAGACGACGGCTTTAACCAACTTAGAACACTACAGTCTCGGGTATTAGGATGGCGAAGGTTACTAACGAATCAATAACACTTCCAAGTTGGGTGTGGACTAAGAGGCGGCTGGTCAGTGAAGTCCACATTCCAGAACCGAGGTTGCCGATCCGAGTAATTGATAGAGATGCTGCCTCTCGATTGATTGGATAAACTAAATCGAGGGGGTTACCGTTGTGACCATAGTATGGCTTTGGGGCCAATCCTAGAAAACACTTAGTTTGGCTCGAGTGAAAGCAGAGAAAGACTATTGTTGTCCGTCTCTTCACACCCTATGTATAGTGAGTAGGGTTGCCCATGTAACTGGGAACTTCGAGCTGCGAGTTAGCGTATTTTGGGGGTTATAACGACAGGAAATATGATCAGAAATTTGAGAAACACCTAGTCAAAACCATGAGACCAGCCCTTGGATCAACCCCAGTCACATTTAATGGCTAGAGCCTTAGCCAATCCTGAA